GGTGCCACAGTCGTTTAACTAGCCTCCCATGACCGGTTTGGCTTTCTGTTTTCCGAGCGCGCTGCTGGCGCCAGCTGGGTCGCCGGAGCCACCTCCGCGCGCCGATTTGGCGGATTTGGCCGCGCGCGACGCCACGCGACGCGACGCGACGCAACGCGCTTTCGCGCCAAACTTAAAGCGAAGCGACGCAACGCGCTTTCGCGCCAAACTTAAAGCGACGTGCGCATGTAATAAGAGTCGGACGACCGGATATGTATTCCATTCTATTTCCAAGTCTGTAGTCCCTGCCCATTTGTGCATCGTATTAATCGCGTGTCCATTTCTATACCTATGTAGATGTAAATGAACTTTAATCTGTCTCTCGACTCTCAACTGATTTATCTTTTTTGAAGAATTCTTTTTTTATAACAAGTGATTTCGTATTAAGATCCTACTAGGTTTTGATGCTCCTCATGGAAAATAATTGATTTATCTTTTTTAAGAATTCTTAAAATTAGAGAAAGATGAAGAGTAAGTTGAACTGACATTAAAATTAGTATTTATTTGTAAAAATGGAAAGTGAACGAAGCCTCGATTGGGAATTGTCGGCTGTTTTATTTTTGTGAAAAAATGTGATAACCGGATAACGCACTCTTTTTATAATTGCTTGAATTGTGTTAACAATCTATAAAATATACGATTTCGAATGATTAAGATAATTATGTAATAAGTATGATCCTTTTTCGTCATCAATTAAGTTATCGCTTTGTGAGTTGTCATTCGAAACAATTCAGGTAATAAACAAGAAAAAATTGAATGAATTTCGAAAATGGGATTCAAATCTTATTTCGTACAGAATTATACCATGTTCGAAATTGTTCCACTTTATCCTAAAATCGATAATTCCAACGTGTTAGCACGTTATCTTTATTAAACATCAAATTATATGAATAATAAATTAGTGCATTAATATACGTTAAAACGTATTTCATTCAATAACGAAATACGTTCAATTATTATTATCATAGATATATCTAGTATTATCTTATTTTGGTTCTTGGGGCTTTTATCACTGAATGAGAATACCATTGAATGAGATGAAATTACAAACGTGAGCTAATTTACTAGAATATTTATAACTTCACTAATCTAGTGAATTTGGTCGCTTTTAATTTTCACTCTTCGTTCCAAGAGATAATAAAATTAACTTTACTCTCGATTTAATTATTATACTTCATTCTTTGACCTGTAGATATTCAACTAGAACAATGTTAGCACACATTTAGCACATTATAGCTCATGTTAGTTAAATATAATATTTAAACAGGACCGTATTCGCGAAATGCACTTGTATCGATAAGCGTGTTTTTATTTCTGAAATTCTAAAAATATATGTAACATGAACTATGTACTAAATGCGCATTAATATCGTTTTAAACGTGTTCTAAATATAGCCCATAGAATTTCAGAAATAAAAGCGCACATTTATAGATAAAAGCACATTTTGAATAAGTACAGACTATCATCTTTCTCCATTTTTTCGAATTAGGGAAAGATAAAAAGTAAATTAAACCACGATTAGATAAAATTAATTTACATTAATAGAAACGAGAATTGCGTCCACCATCAAAATAGATTAATTTTAATCTCAGTTTCATTTACTCTGTATTTTTTATAATTTTTAGAACCAGAAAAAGATAAAAAATAAGTTAAACCGATATTAAAGCCCCTATATTCTGAAATTCTTAACGACAGTATAATAATGTTGTTATACTGTCGTTGAACAGTTTTTTTTTACTACAAAACTGCGCAGTGTAATGATATCGTTACTGTCACTAACGTACATTTTTATCAATGTAAATTAATTTTAATCTTGGTTTAGTTTACTTTTTATCTTTTTCTAGTTCTAAGAATTAGAAGAGGCTAAAAAGAAATTAACTTTGTAAAGAGACACGTAGCAAAATAAATTAAACTAAAGTTAAAGTTACTCTACATTGAAGTTTGTAGAAACGTATTTATATCCATTTCTCTCTATCAATGTAGATTAACTCGATTTTATCCACTCTTTATCTTTTTTCAATTCTTAAAATTAGAGAAAGATAAAAGTAAATCGAACCGAGATTACAGTTCATCTACATCTGTAGAAACGGATCATATTACGTTCATATTTACCGATCTAGATTAATTTTAATCTCTGTTTAATTTACCTTTAATCTAATTCTTAGAACCAAAGGAAGATAAAAAGCAATTAAGTTAAGCCGCGATAAAGATTAATCTATATTGGCAGTAACAGGCAGTGGGGAAAGATATCTCAGTTAAATGCGGAGTGAAGTTAACAACGGAACACGTAGGATATCGAGTCGCTTTTGAACGTTCCGCGCTACATTCAGAGTGGGGGAAGATAGCTACGAGTGTGGGTGTCGCGCAGATAGGTGTCGCGTCTCTTCGCGGCACAACTAAACGTAGGCGGGAGGCCGGAGCGGAGGAGGGAGGCGAAACGGCGGCAGGGCAGAGAGGGGAGTGCGTGCGGAGTAGTGCGCCGGGGCAGTGAAGCGAGCCGAGCCCGCCACCGCCAGTCGTTCGGCGGAGCTCGGGGAGGTTAGGTCGGGCCACGTACCCCGGATGCGAATGCTCGGTGGTACGGCACACCGCGACAGACGGCAGCGGATACGCGGCGTGGAGTCGCGCGATTACAACGGTGCCGTCGAGCACCGATCTCGCTCCCTTTCTCGTACGCTCGCTGGCGAGCGTTCGACGTCACCGCCGCAGCGAGTAGTCGATCTCGTCTCGGTAACGGGGGCGAGCCTCGCTACGCCCGCTCATCCCAGCTCGTCGAGTCTCATCCCTTCGACGTCTCGCCACTCTCGCCACTCACGCCGCCGCCGTCGCCGTCGTCGCCGTTGCCATCGTCTCGACTAGAGCAACATACGCGCGTCTTGGCTGTATCGTCGCACCGCGGCCGTCCGTGCATCGCACTCGCTGCACCTGTCGATACGTAACACCAAAGGGAGCGAGGACAAGCCAGCACCGTGTGTTCCCGGCCTAGTGACCTGACCTTGGATCGGTCCGACCAGGTACGTCTGTCACTACTTGAACCACGCTTATACCGCGCACGACGTTTCCCCGAGGTCGGAACGTTTCTTCCGGAGATATATTAACGGATTATGGCGGTGTGCAGGGGTGGTGCGGACGCGGAATTGAGATTGGTTGCGATACTATGGCAGCAACACGCATCCCCCTGCTAATTCAGGGTGCTTAACGCGCGTACGTGTTGCGGATAAGAGGATTTGCAGCTCGCGTTTAGTGATAGGCTTAAGTCTCCTCGGATGCTCGATATATATATCTATAACGGTACATCTTTTGCGCGGTTTCCCCGATACAACGACCCGCTCCGCTCGACAAATGAACTGGTTATATATCGATCTAAAAGCGTGTCCCGTATCGCGAATTCCCGTGCAATTTCAGAATAACGCTCTCACCCGCGTGGCTCGGTGGTTACGGACTAATTCTTTTTAATCAAAATTGCCCTGGGGAAAATTTTCTCATCGATCCGAGGGAACTTTTCGCGGTGGAAAGTTTTTATCTTTCGGCTTTTAGCTCGCGACGGTCCCGCTGCGGTTCGCGGATAAAGGCGCGCTAAGCGCGGAAATGTAGAAATTCCTCGGCAAACGAGTACTCTTAACCATGTATATGCTTGCAATTAAACTCTTCCCGAGAGCATTTATCCGTTATCACGCGAAACCGTGTGAGGCGAGCTATCTAAACTACCAAAGTATCGCTCCATCGCGCGTATGGTACCGCGATGTCTGACCCGTCGCGTCGTCATCTACTGCTGTCGTTGTGAGTGTCTGTTTATACTACTGACGATCATTCATTTCTTTTGTTACGTGAAATATTTCACCGCCGAGCGAACGTTCGTTCTTTTACTGTGGAAAACTAAGAAAAGAGAAGTATATTTCACACGTAATCGTGACTTTGCAACTGTTCTGGCTTCGAGATAGGATGTTACTGCGTTGTTACGTAGAAAAATGTTCTAGTTGCAGAATTGCAACAAGAAATACAATCAAAACCAATTCTGATCGTATGAATCGGAATTCTAATTATCGCAATTGAATTTCTGGTTATCTTCAC